TCAGGAGCCTTAGCAATAGAGCGCATTCCCACAGATAAGGGTGGTTCTCTTAAGTCCCCACCATCATATCCGCCGAAACTACAATTTGGTCTGAAGATCAGGTGAAAAACCTTCAAAGCGGCTGCTGACAAACCACAATTAGAATTCAACACTCAGAAATGGAGAGTGAAACTATAGTTGACTTGTACATTATAGCCATCGAGGAAAAGTCGGAAACACTAAGCAACACCACCGAAGAAACACGTGGGAAAACACTAGAACTCTCTGAAAGTGGTACTGAAAGAAAACCCTTGTAGTCACCTCAGGTAGAAGGAAGAGGCGAGCTAAAGAATGACCCTCTCTCTGTATACATGAAACCTAAGAGAAATCAGACATTTGGTAAAACGGTAGACCAAAAGTGAAAGAAGCTGAATACAATCTTTAAAACACTGGGCAAGTGAGCAAAAAAGAGTGTACGACAATTTTTCAACACCCTAGAAACTAAAGCAGGACAAGCCATAGGTAAGAGACATCTTGTAAAACTAAATCAGAGAACCAGGCCGTTACCGGGGAAGCGATCAGCTTAGGTGAAACCGATGAAACATACAGAAGAAAACCTAATAAACAAAGAGAACAAACAAAGGAAACAATAAGACCAACACTTCAAAAGACTGTTGAACCGACTATCACTTGTAACCCGTCCAGAAATATCACAGCAGCAAAAGAACTTCCGATGAACACCAATCCTCCGACAAAAGTAGAACCCTGCAGTGTTGTGAAGTTACTGGAAGCTGAGAATATAGTGCGCCAAAAGGACTTAAAATGGATCCAGGGGACTTAGAACACGTAATTACGCCACTATCTCAACAGGGTTGGATGGATGAAAAGGTAATGACCAGCGAATGAAATAAGAACTGCCTTGTTAAACTGCCAAAAATGGGAAGGGAATAATGCTCCTGTTCACTCCAAGCAAAATATTAAGTCACATTGTCCTGGAGATAATAAAAGATGCCCCAGATGCAAAACTCGGACGGAATGAACTGAATTCAAAGTAAATATCATGTGTAGACAAAATAGCATCCATACAGAAGGAACAGCACTCACTTTCATCGACTTTGGGGTCTTAGATGGAGTTGACCGTGAAGTAATTTGGAAGCTGTCTTGATAATACGGACTGAAGTGCACCAAATTTTTATCTACCCCACGTGACAGCTATATGATGACGCTGCGTATCAAGTGATTCACCGATGAAAGCTCAGTGGAGCCATCGGAATGGAGACAATATTAGGAATGAGCTGCATAACACCACCGGCAATTTTTATCATCGTGGTGGACTGGATCATGTGCCAGGCCATGCGTGTCGTGCAGGAAGACGCGCATTAGTTGGACCGATGGAAAGGAACTGAAAGATGTGGACTTCAAGGATGATTTACGTCTTACAACATACAAACTCGAAGATCTACAAGGGAAAACCAACTGGTTGTCGGAAGGAGCGGAGAAGACAGGCCTTCGAATAAGAATTGACAAGAAAGATATAGTGTAGATACCCAACTGACATCAAGGAGCACAAATCATCTTAAACAGGAGAAATGAAAGAGAAGACACTTTCAATAATCTAGGCAGAATGACTAAAATTATCCGCCACGTACAAGGTCATTGGTGGAGTGATACGCTCAAAGGTCATTTTCGTCCATGCTAGTCGGCCATGTTGGATTGCAGTTCCGTAGCTGTTTGTTTACACATTGATTTTTTCGTTTATCCAGCAGTTATTCACAGCTTATCTTTAATAATAATAATGTATATTTTCATATAAACATAAATTTACATGAAAATGCATGCCATTTTTACAGGCACGATCAAGTATGATACAATGTCAAATAGTAGATTTCCACAAGTTAGTAATGTTTGAACAGCTAAATATTTGATATATGTATAAATACACTCTTTGTCTGACCCATGTCGTATCATTATTGAATTAAACAGTAGTCCTCCAGGTTGCGCGGGAAAATCGACTTCGTTTCGTTTTCAACCCGTAGTTGTAGGCATACGATAACCAACCAATATTGAGGTAAGTATAACGTTTACAAGGGATAGTAAGCTGTTTTAGAAAAGTAAAGGTGCTAAGGTGAATCATTAAAGTGCAATGAAATAGGTAAGTGCAATGTATCATTAATAGATGCATTCATAAAGGAAATACCGTGAGGACTATAATCCCTGGGCTGACAAAGTTCATTTGCAATGTAAAATGCTACCCATATAGGTCTTACTATCATGATGTCCACTTTTGGTTTAATACAATTATCTACAAGCCGGTTGTTTTTATTTCATACCTTTTTGTGTATTTGGTGCACAACCGTACTCTATAGAGAATAGGAATAGAATAAGTCGAATCAAATTCATAATGAGCTATAAAATGTTAGGATTAATGGAATATAATGAGCAAGTGGAGACGTTATTAGAAAATGAATGAGATGAGACATTGTTAAGTGATGTTCGAAGATACGACAAAAGAAAGCATGGTAATTTGTAAGATGCCCCATAAATCTGTGCAGAGCCCAGGTGGTCGCATCTCAGCAATAGGCTGACCGAATGGTATATGTTCAAAGGTAGAAGCACGATCTGTCCAGGCGATCATTATTATCTTATTCAAGATAACGATTCAAGCCCTCATAGAAATCTCGAGCCGTCAAATTGCATATTGCTGTTCCTGCAGAATGGGGCGATTCACCTTGGTGTCCACCACCATATCTACTGATCAGCATTCACATTGTTCACAAATGTTGCGTTTCACTTCATTATTGCTTCCGTTTCTGTCAAAATCAGTTATTTCGTTTGTTTCGAAAGTTTTTACCACCAGGTCAGTGCATTCATTTCATTGTAATTGTTACATACGTTGCATTCATGCATGGTTTCAGGGTTTTAGTTGTTTTTCCACTATTAATGAATTAGTGCTGTGTAGGAGTTTTGGAAATTATGCACATGAACGTGTTTGGTTGGCAGAAGCAGTTGTTTCCAGTTCATTCGTTGGTTGCCGTTATTGTTGCTGGCTCAGTTGCTTACTTAACATGTAGAAATCTGGAAAAAAATGTCTGTCACATTCATGTTTACAGCATGCAGCAATCTACGAGTCAATCTGGTGAGGAAAATACGATCAGAGTTGATATTAGCAAAGTTTTCGAAGAGCAAATTAAACCTGGAGAATTATTAAAAATTAATGGCAAAAAAATTTCCAAGCAAAAATTCAACAGAACATGATATATAAGTCCAACCGGCAGAATCACTGCGACTTGAAGCACCCGTCACCAATGGCATTTCCAATAGACTTCCGACTTTCACCGACAGCTGACTTGCTCGCACTTAAGATCAGATGCTCGGATATAGAAGCTGAGTTACGATAGAGTCTAGTTGCGAACAAATCAAGAACCTATTGTCCAAGATATATGCTGAAGGAGATGAAGATGGAGTGGATACAAGCTGATGAGACAGGACAAGCGATGTGTAGGTCATTTAGGCATCCTATGGTACACGGTTATCCCTACGACAACTTTTCTATAAACTTTCTAAAGGTTTGTGCATTTTTCCGAAAACCAAATGGCATCCGCACAATCTCAGATTATCTAAATAGGTTGGCATTGGCTGTTTTAGATGTCTTTTCCCCAGCCGACGGAATATTGTGAAAGGCGCGAACTATTTTTATTTTACTAGTTGTTGTGGCGTCTCGGAGGCATTTAGTGAAGTCTTGAATGTGCGGTACCAAGTATCCGTCGGGAGTGGTCAGCTTTTTAGATCTGTGTAATCACCACAAAGGCACCAGTCAGACTGGTTTTTCCTAAGCACCCTGTGCAGCGGTGAAACCCGTTGAATTTTATGAGTCCATATAATTCCCAGCTGAAGCATGTGGTTAAATTCACACTACTCTGTTCCTAGTCTGTTCGGGACCTATTCTTCTTGGTTTACTGAAAACCGGGGGACTGTGCCCTCACAGCACGAGAAGTTTTCAGACCAGCCCTACAATATTTAAGAGTTGGCCGCAGTTAGAGTCAGGAACTCTGCCATTACTTTCCGGAACATATCACAGTTAATACTGGTAGAGATTAGAGTAGATTCAACGAATGTTGCTCATTCACTCTTCCATTGATATACAAGGACGTTTCTTTCATTGTAAAACATCTCTTACTAATATCTACTACTGAGTCATATCTTTCCAAAAGTCTATGCCGAGGACTTCTATGTCTAGGTGAACACCCACGGAGGCTGTCGCTCGAACCCGATGTCGAGGATCAGTGTTTTGTGCCTGTATGTCGTGACCTGAGTTTTACTGACGGCCTGCAGCGTGATGAATGACTCTGGCCACCCAGTCTCGGCTTTCGTTTTCGGTATGATGTTGAGTGCAACTCCTGTAATAACCAAGAAATCTATGCCGGAGCTTTCATCCTTGACGCAGAATAATTGACTGTCCGGGCATCTCTTCTCAGTAGTCACCTGCTGAGCAGGATCTAGTCATTTTTGTGTCACCTGTGAGTCAGTTTAGGTCAGACACACTGTTGTGCGTATTTCCAAGACTAAGACTTTCCAGTAGTCACCAACCCTGCTACAGTCCACCTGTCCTGTGGGGCGTCTCCTCCCTGATATTCGATCTGCGGTAGATGCTGACTGTTCAAAAGAGGAGTAAGAATCTTGGGAATCAAGTGCTTGTCGCATATACTGCGAGACATAACTAGTCAGGAAATGAGAATTCCTATCAATCCAGGTAACATGTAACACGATTTTATTAAAACTTATTGACAAAAAATTTTTCCAAGCAAAATTTCAAACCAACGTGACATATAAGTCCAGCCTGTATGACAGAAGTCAGCTCCAAAGTCAACGACAAAAAGCCAGGGGAGTCTAACCCAGCTACAGCAAAAAGTTAAGGAAAGTAACGGCACTAAAACACGCCGAATATTTGGGACATTTCCGTCAACATTAAGAAAACAAATTGCTTTTGTTTTAGTTGGAGATGGAGTATTGGCTATTGGTTAAGCGGGTTATCTGACATTTAAAGGGCATTCCAAGGTAGCATGGCCGAAGCGAAACTAAGGGTTGGTTGTCGTGTTGAAGTAACAGGGAAAGATGTTTTTGGGACAGTTGCTTTTGTCGGAGCAACACAATTCTCACCAGGTAAAAAAAAGTTCTGTTCTCATCACGGACTTAGGAAAATGGGTGGGTGTAATACTAGACGAGCCCAAAGGGAAGAACAACGGCACGGTTCAGGGGAAACGCTACTTCACATGTGAGGAAAATTTTGGGATATTTGTGCGCCCATCTCAGGTATGTTTTATTTTAAACGGTTTTGTGCGTTGTTTGTATCCTTTTATGTATCAGTGCAACTCCATTCTGGCAGGTCACAGAGTGCAAATTACACCCTTGGTGGCCAGAACTTGAGTTGTGTGCCATCAGAACGCGATCTAGGCCTTATTTTAACAGGAAAGCTAGACACCAGTGTGAATTACACGAGTGACGTCGCCAAAGCTTACGCCACTTTACACTTCATGCATAGGCAGCTGGGAGCTCTTACTCCTGAACTATTCCTAACGTTGTATACGACATACGTGCGGCCACTCCTTGAGGTGCATAATATCATTGCTCCTCCGCTACTCAAAAGGGATGCTAACATGCTAGAAAGTGTCCAGAGACGAGCGGCAAAATGGGTGATCGGCCTCCGCAACAAATCATATGAGGAGAGACTGAAGAAATTAAGTCTTTTCACACTTAGTTACCGTAGTCACAGGGGAGACCTCATCACCGTCTATAAGATCTTAAATGACCAGGCCCATCCTAATAAGAGCATCCTGCCATTAAGTGATTATAGGCTTCCACGAGGTAACCCGCTAAGGATAGCACACCAGAGACCAAGGACTCGAGTGCGTTCACATTTCTTCTCGCTTCGAGTTTGCCGTCTCTGGAACGCTTTACCGGCGGCCGTAACTACAGCTCCATCTGTGGAGACTTTTAAGCGGAAGCTGGACAATCATGCAGAAATGCATGGTCTGTGTCTCAATGGCTTACCCTCTTAAAATTTGAAACCACATTGTCAATGGATAAGCATACAAGCTAAATCCCCACGACCCGTCCTGTCTTCTCCCACTGTACCGACTACTCTATCTTTTCTTTCTTTCTTTATTATTTCACTTATCTCAACCTATATTATCTACACTACAACCTATTATTATTATTCTACTTTTATGACTATACCGAATGACCAACGGGTGTTAGGTCAAACTCCATTCACGGCAGCAGCTGAGTCCTAACATACTGCACAATACAAACCACAATCTTGACCAGTCCTCGCACCACTCCTCTTGGAGTCTACCAGAGCTAAAGCAGTCGAGTGGCGGGATTTACTACGCATAAGTTCACCGAAGATCTGGAACCTCTACCTTACAATCAAGAAGCGAGCTCAAAGAAATCACTGGTTTATACTAGCTCGTAATCAGGATATTGGATATATTGGATGCATATCATAAGAAGTCCTTACTACCAGGGACTCGATGGTATTATTTATTTGTTTATCACTTCATTTATGATGAATTCGCACGTTGCTCTTATTTTAATAAGTCATCAGAGCTCGTGTTAGTAATTTGCAGGTAGACATTATCAAGATCATTGCAAATGTTAATTAAATATATCTCATATAATTGTATAGTACCAGTCTATTCTTCAAGTGCTAGGTTGTATTTATAATTTTAGAAATGTTATTTACTGAGGTTCTCTGCTGAGAGTAGGGGTCAGTCTTTACAGTCCCTAGGATAAACTGGTTCATATGCAGTTCAGTGTGAATCATGATGTTCGAAAACCATATATCGTGGTTTTGACACTTATAGCTTCGTAGCACTAATAGTGCATACATGATTCCTTACTCATTTCGTGCATCCTAACGGTTTTCGATTTGTATTTGTTGATCTCACCTCCATTCTATAATATCTTTCTCATCAATGTCGCATTACCCTATTTAGCTTTTTCAGTCCTTGCACTCCATATTTATATCAAATTATGAAAAGGTATTCCCAGCCCCGTGAAACTGGATTCCCAACTGAATATTGAGTCTACTGGTATCCTTACTCTGCGTGGAATTATATTGTAGTATTGTCCAGACCAGGCGAAGTTAAACTATCATAACCAAAGTTACAGTGACTTTGGGCAACCAATTAGAATTCAGATAAAAACGGGTCGCACAATCTTTGGGAAAATGCATTAATGCACATTATGAATACGATATTACACTGAATAATTGTCGCTTATGTGTTGCAAGAATATCTCGCATTCGCTAACCGGACAACCTAAAGAGAAGTCATACCATGCGCGATAGGTGACTGTTGCTCGGGATACTTTGAGATCCACTGATGTTTCTGACACTGTTCTTTAACATACACCTAACTCTGACCGTAATCCTAACCTTGATTTTAAAAGCCATAACAGTAGGATACCTAGCAGTGCATATTCACAGAAAAAGTACATGGAAACAAGTAGAATACTGCATCTACTCTCGCCAAATTCTAAACAGTAAGCATGATTTGATTTCGATTGACATTTCTTAGCGTTCCCTAAATCTGACTGGTTCTTGAAGGCCCAGTTTTGACAGACCTTGACTTCTGCTATGATACTTTAACTTTGCCAGGACCTGAATCCAACTGTAGTCTCCAGCCTATAGAGCTTATGGCACTAGAGCATCCAAAGGGCTTAATCAACATGGTGTTGGGACTTACTGTCATTTCTGTGGACTCATTGTTTCGTAACATTTCCTTAGGAAACGATAACTTTTATGCTTGCTCAGCCTTTGCTTCAATATTCACCAGACAGTTGATTTCCTTCTCTACTTCCGACTGTTAGTTTCAAGCATACCGTAATATATTAAATAACAGACAGTGTGTCCCCTGAAAAATATACTGCTAAAACATTGTTTATCCAATTGTTTGTGAGACGTTAGGAATGTGTACGATATATTCTTTGTTTTCTAAGAAACTGGAGTTGGTGCTCATTGGCTTTAGAACTTAACTTCAAGCCAGTGGACACCGGGCTTTAATCCCATCTCACTTACTGCAACATGAGCAACTGATTAGTACCATATGCCTTCTAACCATCGCCTCCCCCGACGGGCATTACTAGCTGATAGAGGTGCAGGTTGGAAAAGATTAAGTGGTGGCCAAACAAAAACATGGCATCAATCCATGTAATCCTTGACAGTTAAACTGAGTCAGGTAGGGAGATGCAGACTTCCGGGTTGGGGCCCGCCCTCGGGACTCTCAGAACCAATGGCTGGAGACAATAGGCGACATGACTCAAAATCGTTGTCAATGGCTTACGCAGATGTATTCAGTCTCTGTAATGTTTCATATTCCTTTCTACCATTACTCATTCTGTTTCACTCTTATACTTATCAAAACTCTGTTGATTCTCTTCACTCATTTTCTTGTCTACCCTTGTGTGCTATTCGGAACGTGGCAACTCGAACTGGTGCACTTCGGTGCCAAGTTCTATGTTGAATCCAGCCAGCACCATATACCTTTATATAACGTGTAATTCGTAGGTGGGCACATAAAATATATTTTCTCGGTAGTTGCGTTCTTTCAAATATAATTTCTCACTCCCACAATTGTTTGAACCGACACCTATCTCAACTTTAGAAAGTCACTTTGTCATCACGTGGTGAAATGGAAAGGCCTACGCACTTTCGTTATCTACTTCTTTAGTGAAATATCTGTATATCTGCTAGGTGTGAAGAATACATCAGCATGCGCCGTTACATTACGCCAGTGTTTAATCATCAGTATTGAATCTGCAAAGATTACATTCATTTATTCTACACACCACCTCTCTTGTTTATAACTGTCAATCGTCTGAGTTGGTTATGTCATTCGTTACGCCTACTTACCACCTACCATGGCCTGTTGAGTTAAGGGCGGCCATATCCGTACTCAGCCAATCACTGAATTCATGACTGTTAATCCATTTAATTTGGAAAAGTGCAACTTGCTTTCTGTGGTCGAATTAACTACGAAAACTCGTGACTAAGGATCGTGGGTGATGGGGATCGAAATAAATCATACTGACACAAACGTATTCTCATCTTTTTATTTTAAATGTGTTGTTACATACTTTGTTTCTGTCCTTTTATTTCAAAATATTTTACCACTTTTGATAACATTATTAACATCACTTCTCTATTCTTATATATATATATATATATATATATATATATATTTGGTTTCTTGAACCATCATACAATCATGCAAATCCTTACATTAATAATGATAGGATAATAGCAATATGACTCCATTCAAATTCTGTTTAGTCCAATATCCAGGACATATTTTAATTCTCTTGTCCCGTATTGTGCCATTTTTCTGTTTTATTATGTTTAGGACTATTTACAGTGTTTTTCTTTGAGTGATATTATGATATGTGTCAGGTGGTTGAGAATTCGAACCGTAATGGGTTTTCGCCACTTTGTTTAAGTCAATTCGTGTTTTTCTCATTGATTAGTTGAACGGAAATTTTCGACTTCTGTAGACATGCCGGCTCTTAATGCGGACTATCCGATGATGTTTGAGGAACAGTGATGTTACTTGCTGCCGAAGTGGCTTAGTGGTTAACACTGGCGTTTAAACGACGGGGGCTGGGTTTGATTCTCAGCAGAAATACCATCACACACACTGGGGATTGCAGTTACCTCTAGATAACGAGTCCCAAACGAGACAGAACGTACTTCCGGGATTCCACTGATGGTCACTATACACCAAATAACATGACAAATATGAGTCTGGAGTTTGTAACAAAGTAAATTAACTGATATTTATTGTTAAATTTGGCTCATTGAATCCAGCTTCCTTTGTTTCAGCTGTTTGTTCGGCAGGTAAATATTTTAGTCCAATGTACTGGTCCCTAGATTTCATTCGCAACAAGAATATATATTTTGTTGTACCTTATTCGGGTTGTGTCCAAAAATATCGATCGTGAATGCATCTTGCAATTAAAAAATCTTATTTATTTATTCCTCCTTTGTCATCCAGCTTACTCTTCTAGATGGTCCGGAGGGATCAAGCGTAATGGAGTTATCCACATGTAGCGTTGTTTCCGAATCAGGTGCCACTTCAGAATCAAGCGAAGTTGCGAAACTTTCTGGTTCGACATCTTCGTTGTCTGTAGGATTGAAAACTGCTGAGACAGTTAAAGGTATTGAATGTTTTATTTTCTGTCTGTTCTTCTTATATCTACGTCGTTTTGAATGTTACCACTAATATATATGTAATGTAGCATTTTAACCCCAAGGAAGCGCGTTATGTTATTTACATCAATAACATTATCTGTCAACTGAAGTGATTTGTATGGTTACTTAATTTGTATTACCTGATAAAGGAGTAAGAAGTTTTGCTACACTCAACTCAGTAACCATTTATAAGTGGTGATACTAAACATAAAACTGTATGTTGTATGAAAATTAATGTTATAGCTGAGATGCTCATGCCTTGATTACTGTAGCGGTGTTTCAATTCGTTATCCAGTGACTGGAATTTAACTCACTTCTCTATGAATTTATTATTCATTGGATTCCAGTTGATTTCACTTAGTTTCGCTACATGTGTTGATGAAATCTGATTAATCAGCTTTTTTCAGTAGGTTTGACAATTATACGTCACTGTGCTCTTCAAACCGTTTTTAATAATATAAAACAACCGGTAGAAAGTTAAATGACCAATACTTCGTGTTTCTTGATACTTATCATCAATGTTTCCTCATATTAGATTTTTTTATTATAGCTTGATTTCACACCGTATTTTTGGTAGAAGTATGGAATTTTCAGCATGTGATATCGGTAGCCCGAATTTCGCAGGCCAACCAATTGATATCAGGTGTGCGCCGGCAGGGGATCAAACCTCGGACCATGTGCATGGTCGACGAGAGTCCTAACCGCTGTGCCACCGATGCACCACTGAGTATTATTGTGTTTGAACTAAAGTAACTTTGAAATAATGTTATGAATTATGACACTACTGACAGTTTGTTGTAAAGCTGCAGTACAAAAAAGGAACGTGACAAATCTCAGGGACATTTCATTCAGTAGTTTTGGAAACTAGGTCATTTTTAAGACAGCTGAATCTAACCAACATCATCTGAAATGTTATTAGAAACATAGATGAGCCCATCAGTTTTTTATCTTACGTTTGGGTCTTTCACTGACGCACACGCTATACTTTTTAGGTTGAACCAAAACACTTGACCCTTACAGCAGACACATTGCTATTGCTCTGCTGGAGATGAAGTTCATTAGGCTAAGCACTCTGTTTACAACTGATGGGTCAGAGGTTCGAATATCACTCCATCTACTTCAACCTGGGCAATTGGATAGTATCATCAGTTGTCACATAATGAGTGTGGCTCTTAGTTTGGCACATAGAAAATCTGTTCCGGGTAATTAAGCTCTACCTGATTGAAATTTAGTGACTGATGTCATTTAAATTTCAGTCATTGCGTGTTATCGAGGTCACTGGTTTAAGTTCTGCTACTGAGGTATTTGTCCTAGCTTTGATCACCACTCGATTATATTCAGTCACTGCTTTTGTAAGTTTTGACTACCTTTAATTTCAGTCATAATAATTAATTTGAAGACAACGTCTTTTCTCTGAGACATTGATCTATTCTATTTTTACAGAAATGTAGTGAAATTATTGTCCAGTGCATTTTGTTTTCAGTGACCCCTCAAAAAGTTTTTTTATGGAAAAAATCTGTCGTCGGGTAATTTGTTTGTATTCTGTATGCAACCATGACTTTATTTTTTTTATAAATCAGAAAAATTTCTGTTTTTCACTGTTTCATCATTCAATTTTTAATATCATACATATCATAGGACGAACTTCAAAGTTACCCGGTCTCAAACGTTCTCCTCTAGCTAGTTCTACTTCATCTGTGAAGGATAAGGCTAGTGTACCTGCCTCAGCTGGTAGAAGTATGTTCTGTTTTCTATGAGTGCATGTTTAACTGAAACAAGAAACATAATATATATGTATTATCCATTGGTTTATATACATCAATCTTACATTATCTAACAGCTACTCTTTAATTTTGCCTCATTTCTTTTGTTTTAGTCATAACATTCGTCTAATGCTTTTAATCCATAATTACAGCATGCTATAACATATAATTTTTGTTTTGTTTTTTTTCTGATCGGATTCATACTACTGTATATTTATTATTTTGTTCTTCCTTTTTTTGTCACAGTTCCATCAGAAATTAAAAAGACATCACAAGTGAGTTTAATCTGTCTTTTATATGTTGTAATGACTGACACTGTTACATAAATTATATTTTTCGAGGCTATCTAGAAAAACGTAGCGTGCTTTCATATATAGGGATTTGATTGATTTCGGTTAGAGAAGCATATTAAAAACTAGGGAGTACTGGATAACTGTCTCCTTCTAGTTCGGGACTCTTCAAGAACACGCACCCACAGCCCCACAACAAGCGAATGAACCCGGAGCTCTCGCTCGGGTTACAAGGCGAGGTCACTAACCATTTAGCTACTGAGACAGAATCCAATGGTAGATGATGAGGTTGGCTGGCGGTCACACTGAATATCGTGAGAAATTGAGAGAAGTTAGAATTCATGGGCTGGTCATTGGATTCTATCCCAATGGCTGAGTGATCAAAGATCTCGCCTTGTATCTTGAAGGTCTTGGCTTCGATTCTTGGTGGCAGGGGTTCTTGAGTGAAGTCAGTTCGTGATCAAACTGTAAATTGGCTTGGCGTATCTATCGTGTCAAATAGATTGATTCTATTTCTTATAATAGACAGCTCATTTTCCAGTGAACTTTATACAATTGATATTTCTATAATCTATCGACTTATTATTTTGTGTTAGTAAACTTCTTAACATGTATGCATACATTTCTCTTTATTGTGTTAAGAATTTATAGTCGATAATCGATTTCTTTCACGTTTTGCTTTTACTGTGTATTGAGCATATATATATATATATATATATATATATATATATATATGTATATGCATGCGCTTATATCCACGATCAATTAGGTAACTTGGTTTATTCACACAGCTATAAGAAATATACATGTGCCTGTACACACCTTAGTTGTTTATTGTATTACTTTTAGTTCATGTGCTTTGTTTGTTTCTTTTTCTGGCAAATTATTCTCATGCTTTATTATTATTATTATTGTTTTTGTTCACTTAGCCTACATCAAGACGATCTAGTTTGGTAAGGTCTTTGTGTATAGTGTGGAGAGAAAAAACCGATAAGCGGTGTAAAGTTTTATTAAAGCTAACATAAGCAAGCCTTTTGTTAATTTCAAGACTTTCTATCTATGTACCTTTGCTTTCGGTTGAGATCATCTTAATTTGTATATTTTTTAACTGATCGAAGATAGCTCTTATTTCACACGTACATATCATTCAGTGAAATTGATCAGAACAATAACAACAGTAATTGGACAAAGTGAAAATGGCTGATTTTCCTTTGTGTCTCCGAGTGGAACATGGGACAAGCTTAAAGCTTTGAAGTTTCAGTAGCAATGGTGTTGTTCTTTTGAGGAGTGGGGTTGCTAACCTTACGCTCAACCTTCCCTCTTTCTAAGGGCCTAATACCAGCTAAGCGAGATTTCAAATAGTGGCTCAACTGGGAATTGAACCCTAAACCTTGTGTGGTTGGTTGGCGTGCCCATTCTGAACCTGAGCCATCGACACACTTTTACGATTAACTGACTCTAATTGAATATTTCTTTTTCAAAAGAGCAAATTATAAGTAGTCGCTCCATTGTATGATTAAGTGAACTGACACACGTGTCTGAGTAACGTTCTACATTGATTCGCCATTCATTTATTAGACATGATTTATAATTAATAGATGTATAAGTTATGTATAGATACATTGTTGTCATGCTCTCAAATCCTATTCCATATACGTCTTGAGACTTATGGGCATTATTGCTAAAAGTCATATGCTAGATGTAGCTGATTGGTCAGTTGACATGCTAAGATGCTGAGATGATGCACTTCCTTCTCTACCATTTGTACTGTTTTTGTGTGACTGAGAAAACTATGGAAATCCAAAATAGTAATACTACTGCTTCAAATTCGAAGTAATGGAACTCAGGATGTCCGGGTTTGATTCCCGGCCGACACACTCCTAAACCTCGCCTAACCAAGTAGTAAACCTGAAAAGGAAAGGTGTTGGCCATGAGGCTAGCGACCATATTTCATAAAAGAAAAAAACATCCCTGCTACTGAAATTCCAAAGTTTGAAGTCCTGTATTCTACTTAGAACTGAAGGAATGAAAAAGAATTGTTTCAAGTTGGTTAGAAGACGACAACATTCTCACTAGCATGGGCCAACATAAAAAATAAAATGGATGATTGTAAAAGAGATACCTTAGGAACATTAAGAATATATGAAAACCTGTTTTTTTTTAGCCCATTGCCTTCCGACTTGAAAATAGGACTTAAGGCTTCAAGCTTTGAAGTCTCAGTAACCATTGTGCTGCTTCTTATGGTGGGGGGGGGGAGGGATTTGTTATCCCTACACCCAATCTTCAGTCTTTTGCAGACTTACTCTGAACTGGTAAACTAGTCAATTTTTATGAGTACATCGACCGGGAGTCGAACTCAAAACTAGTTAGCGAGCATTTTGCCACTGAATCACTGATGCACCCTATGTATGACACGTTTAAATAAATTAGTTTACCCAGTGTTCATTGTTCCCTAAATGGAAGTCAGAATGTGGTGAGAGCTGTCTGCAAGTCAAAATAATAGACAACAGTTTGCGTCAATGTTTACTTCCCGAATCGGGGTCATGAGACAAAAACAGTAACAAAGCTTAACCTTGGAGAACTCACCAAGCAATCATAGCGGGCTTGACGTGTGAAAATAGGATTCGCACATACATGACTTAACTTTCTAAGAAACGGCCACAAGCAACAGAGAAAACAACCAATCAGAAGAGGTTGCTTCTCCGCCAATAATAATCTACATAAAAATCTATAAATATCTCTTGATTTTCTCAATAAACGATCTGTTGCCTGGCCCTTGTCTTCTGTCGTTACAAGAATACTGAAGTCTACTTCTGATAAATCAAGGCTCCATGGCTCAGTAATACACAGCAGTTCTTACTCCTATGTTATTTAAATACTGAGAATCAGAATATGACATGAGTAATTTAATATCTTACATATGTATCCTGGTCGTTTCCTCTCTAGTATTTTATGTTCTCTTGCTGAACAGTATTCACCTTTTGTATTTCACTTATCATGCTTTTGCTTATTTGTAAAACACTTACCTAATACTAACTGGTCATTGTTAATGTCTGGTTTTTACTCACAATCTTTTGCAATTCTCTTAATTATATCTGTACTTTCAAAGCACAACACCTCGAAATCTACTCTGTAGTGGATTTCCACCAACTATGTTTTGTGCAGACTGTCTTGTTAACTGACTATCAATTTCATACAAATGATATCTTTTCTTTCTGGTGTGGTTTTTGCTTTATTAATATTTGAACTTGTGTGATAAATTTATTAATACCTTATTTTACTAAATCTTTTTCTGTTTTAAGTGATAAATGGAAGTAAACTGCATGAATCAACAGCTGCTGCAGAACTGTTGGAGTTCACTAGATCTCATCATCTTGTGTTTCATTCTTAGTGATTATTCATGGCGTCGGTGGCACAGCAGTTATGACGCTCGCCGACCATGCATATGGTCCGGGGTTCGATCCCCAACCGACGCCCACCTGATATCAATGGTCTCGGCCGACTAAATTTGAACTACCGATATCACACGCGGAGAATTCCGTACTTGTACCAAAATACTGTGTGGAATGAAGCTATAATTAAATAAATAAATAAAATGGTTAATTTTAAGGTTTTAAGTAAATTGTAGCTTCTTGTGTGTTTTACATTGGAAACCATGTCTATAATATCAAATATAGATAAATCATCTTACAGTATAGCGTATCTAAAAATGAATGAGACAAACAGGTTTTCTTAAACAAAGTTTATGGTTCTGCTAAAATTATCAATTCTTCAATAGTTCAGATTCCTTGTTGATAATGTTCAAGCTTTCGGGATTTCATCTTGTAAATGCCTATGTAAAAACATTCAAGGTAATTTGGAAAGTGATCTGACACCATAGATTGCAGCAACTCAAACATGTATCAGCCTCATTCAACAGTTATATGACAATGCTACATGCCAACTGATTCACAACGGGGAGCTTGGCAAAGCCTCTGAAGTAAAGACTAGAGTAAGACAAGACAGCCTACTACCACCGACGATTTTTCTAGTTATATTAGACTGAGCTATGCGACAGAACGTCAGGAGAGACAGGACAGACATACACTGGAGGGAAAATAGACACTGGAATATCTGGACATTCGTCGATGATTTATGTCTAATTTCGCAGAAGCCTGAAGATCTACAAGCGAAAAACCAACAAGTTAGTAGAAGAGGCAGTGAAGACAGGACTTCAAATGAACATTGATAAAACAAGAACGAACTAACATCAATGGGGGAAGTGTGGAGGAAGCCACTTCTTTCAATTACCTAGGCGGGAAGCACGGATGAAGATATCAAAGGCAAGGTCGGAAAGGCAATACAGGCCTTCATTACTTTGAAATCAGTGTGGGAATCTGTCGAACTCTGTATAAGTAACAAGATCCGAATTTCCAATGCCATTGTCAAGTCAGTCAATGATTCTATATGGTTTAGAGAATTGGTGCACTATCAAAAGCATACCAGACAGACTTGGTTCCATACTGAGGATCAGATGGCTGACCAGAAAGGTAAGCAACAAGGAACTCCAACAGCCAACTGCCCAAAAGCCTATCGCCCAATAAATATGTAGAAGGACATAGATATGGATCGGACATACACTGAGAAGACTGTGGCATCATGCTCCAAGCGCTCGAGTAAAACATGAATGGGAAGCGAAAGATGCTTTGTTTGTCCGAGGATGGCATGGATGAGGTCGTGTAAGGTTAAGATGAAAGCTTATGAGCAGTCGAGGAGCCACCTAAGAAAAGACTGCAGAGAACAAGATGCAATGAATCTGTGCTGCTGTGAAGCCTAATTTTCTACTAGTAACCCGTGGGAGTAGTAATTATAATACAATAAGGTCTAAGATTACTTTAAATTGTTGTTAAGCTTTACTCTTCCTTTTACTGTACATGTATTGAGCTTCAGTTTTTGGTGGTCTTGTATATATTTAAATAAACCACATGTTTAACACAACCACCTAGTGTGTTGCACGTTATGAGTACCAGTTTATTCTGTTATCTCGTGTTTCGCTAAATTACAAAAGGTACATCTGCTTCTCTTCTCGGTGGTAATTTTTGCACTCAACATTGGAGTTTCTATGTGGTGCTTTGAAGTGTAGCACCATGAACTAATGAAGTGTTGTGCAAGGTTCCGCACTAATCCTTCAGTCATATCACTTGACTTGTCAGTGTAGGCGTTGTTTTAAGCGCCAATTCCTTTTTGAAGCAGCGCTTGTCAAACCATCACTTTCCATACTTTTACTCATTTTTTCTTCACTTTTATAGCTTCCACCAACTGGATCTAATCCAGACCTTGCACGAAGTAGTCCAGCTCCAACATCAACAGCTTTGAAACCTGAAACTGCCTCTGCAAGAATTGAAAGTCCTTCTAGTAAGCCTTCTGCGGATAAACCTGTTGCAGCAGATGTTATGAAGTCCAGCGACATAATGAGTAAATCTTACACACAAATTTCAAAATCGGATAGTCCGGCTCGTAAGATGAGTGAGAGTAAACTCCCTACTTCTACTACCACTACTACATCAACACCGCCTATCCCTACTGGTATTAAAATGCCAACAAATCCTTCAGAAATTCCAAAAACGACAACACCACCTAGTGATGTAAAAGCGGCTGCGCAGAAGGTGGATCCTGAAAATGCACCAAGTAAACCTAAAGATACGTCTCAAAAAATACCAAAAACATCTGTATCAGCTGTTCCAAGTGGTACTGGTAAGTACTCCCCAGACACAGAGTTGGAACTGGCAAATCTACGTGCTGAAGTAATCACATTTCATGAACAAATTGATGCTTTAAAAGCTAAACGGGAAGAAGATAAAAATAGAATACAAGAATTAGAACGTGTTAAAATTCAGCTGTCACAAGTTGAAGAGAATCGACGCCTGATGCGAGAACACGCAGCTGAATTACAACGTGAAATTGCTCAATTAAAAACAGTAGGTTTTCTTTCTTATATTGATTTTAACAATTTTGTTGGGTTGGTGAACTGTTGTAGTTGGCGCTTAAATTATTCTTTTGAAGTCACTATCATTACTGTTTCTAAAGAATGGATACTGAACAAAGAGTACTCTTTTCGATAACTTCATCATCACGCTCTACAGTTATATATACATTATAGTGAATGAATGAATTAGTGTTATGAACAACATTAATGTTGTTTAAATAACAGCGAATCAATAATATCAATAGATTACAGTTCAATAGTACCAATATAACAATAAACTAAATGTCAGAAAAATTAGGAAAGATAATAATACAAATTCATGAATTTATAGTCTCAACTGAAAGCCTGCCAGGGCAGTAGTAGTGGCTGGACTTGCTTCTTTTGCACACAAAGCACTGGTCGTTTCACGCGAATTGCGACAGCCTCTGGTGTTTGGAGCATGTGGTACTTCGAACTTTTTGGGAATTTATTTGGCACGCGGTAGATGATAGAGAAGGATTCTTCAATGGTGGCTGGCTTTGTGGCTGCTTTGGACCAGATGATCTAATATCGAACTGTCGATGGTTTTCACTACACCTTTACTTAGCCATACTGGCAGATGTTTCTTTTAAGAATTGAAACTTTTGTAAATAAATCATAGAATTGTATGAACAAAGAATTAGTGAACTCTCTTAGTTGATTAACTGTAAGGTGATAATATATTCTCAGTTGATGGCGATAACTAATCAAAATCGATTTATAACCTGAAAATGACCCTATATGAAGTGAGCTATTGATGATGCAACATGAAGTTATTGACTGCTAACACTCGAGTTTTGACTGTTCCCAGTTCCAGTTTTAAAAAAATGGTTCTCAGTTATAGAACCACAAATAGCCACTGCACTTTATTTTCGTACTATTTCGCATCCATGACGCATGTTAATAATAGATCAGTGTAATTTAGCAATTGTACAATCGATGGGACCTATATCTACCCACTCTGTATGTAATAACCAAGTTGACGTCAAAAAGGTAGTGCTAGTAATCACATTTTGCAGATAGCGAATACTAATAATATAATGGAAACACTTCTACCAATGTGAATTTTGCTCGTTTAACTGCTCACAGAGTTATGTGCGGAGACTGTTGATCTTTTTACTGCTATTTAATACACACCAACTATCAAAAAGTCGACGTTTCTTTCGTGTGTGTGTGATTCTCCCACCTCATATCTGTGATCGTGACTCTTTGACTCATTGGTAGATTTTTGAACCTTTATGATCCGTTAGTTTTTATATAAATATGTATTGACAAGGAGGACGTGTGATCAGAATGCCCGAAATGTGTTACCTGAATGCATTACACGTTTCAGATAGAACAAACTGAGTGAAATTTTTCGTTGTTGTCGAAATTCATGAAAGGAAGTAACTGCTTTTAAAAGTAATAACTTCTCCTGAGTGTATTACTCTCATAAGTTTTGCACTAATCTCTTCTGCTAATGAATGCAGGAGTTGAAAAGCAGACTTAGCTCATTGATTTAAGCACTTGACTTTTGACCAGTGGGTCCCGGGTTCGAATCCCACTATTCCTACCTAGGTCATTAGCCCTCACACAATAAGTGTGACTCATTGTCCCTAGAATATGGGACACCTGTTCCAGAACTGAGTTCAAACATTGAACGTTAACCGTTCGGTTCAATGATAACATCCCCACCTTGTAACTCAATGATCCTGAGCTCCTGGCTTCATACAGTCATGTGTTTGCATTAGTAAAACGTCCCAAGCAAGGAAATACCCGCTCTGTTAGCTCTCCTTAGTTTCTAAATACATCTCTGGGTATTTTCATTGAAAACCTGGTTCAATAATGTGTTTATTATTAATCTCCATTAAGGAAAAAGCTGAAGTCAAAGAAGCATTTGATCGTTATCGTGAAGAAGTAACTGAAATGGTTGAAAATATAGAAATGGCCACTTTGGATAAAGAAATGGCAGAAGAAAAACTAGAAACATTGACTGCAGAAATTGAATTACTTAAGGAACAAGTAGAAGAATTAACTCTTGAGAATCAAATCTTGAAAGAAGAATCTGAAGAAAAAGGTTAGTAGTAATGATTTAAGTTGTTTCAGGGTTATTTTAAAATCGTTTCTATTGTATGTTATTATTCATTAGGGTTCCTAGTGGAACATATTGCTTCAGCAACACATCGATATTTCATCCTATCGCCTTCGGTCTGTCGTAGCTGGCCCCACGACTGCTCATAACTTTCATCTCCACCTCATACGACCTCCTTCATGTCACTCTGGGATGCCCAGCTCATCGATTGTTGTTTGAATCTCACTCGAGGGTCTAGCACGTGATGTGTCACTCGATAGTTTTCTCAGCCTATTCTGGAGCTATTGTGGTAACTATCTCCATGCTTGCTGTTCATGTATTTTGAGAAGTCATTTTATAAACTTCAAGGCAGTATTTAAGCATCTACTGAATGAGTTCATCAGTCCAGTTGTAAGCGCCAGATGTCCAGATTCATCCTTTCAACCAGACAGCTTAAAGGTAATAAACAGGACTTACGTAACCATGAGACGACTTCGAGAGGAAGACCGAAGTTTACCCACCGTCGACCGTACCAGGTCGTTAATTGTAACTGTATACCAAATTGAAGCTGATCAATTCATGTCAGATGTATCAGTAGGGAATCACATAAATAAGCCAATACTGTCAGTGCGTGAAATTACTCAAGACTCGTTTTTCAATTCTGAGGATCAAGATCTACCGATTGGTAAAGAAGAATATATAAAAATATAAAAGGTCACCCCGTCCCTTGAAAGAATAATTTTATTTGGGGAGAAAAACCATAGTGATACAACATTGTTTACTGATGACGTTTCGACAATATTTTATTGTTTACAACTATATCAAGGCACTCACATAACTTCCAAACTTTGTTTATATAATTCTAGTATTTCCTATCCTTTGATTCAGTTGATAGTAATATTTTCCATATCTCCAGTATATCAGCGTTACGTTATTCCTACTCATGTGTTAACTATAGATTAAATGAAGAAAAATTCAATGATCGATTTCTCTCTCCACCTATTTATATTACTTTTCAGAACTATAGCTCTGTCCCCACTGTATTATGTGATTTTCATTTTTGTGAGGTCCGTCATTTCACACTTAGCTAAATTCGTATGCTCCAATAATCTGACCAAACTACTGGTCTTATAGTTGTAGTTGTTCTCACAGTCACTGCAGGTCATTATATTGATTAAATAGTTTTGCCTAATAGGGTCCTTTAATCTCTGAGTTAGTTTGTAGGTTTAAATTCCACCCTAATTCCTGTCTTATTATTAATCCTACGTTGAGTTATTTTATCGAATGAAATTATCCCATGATATGGAATTATACTCCTGTTCCTACATCAAGGGCAACTGCGTTTTCTTGTCCAGAAATTCGCCAACATTTTTTTTCTTAAGGAGATAAATTACTAGACACTGCATTCGTAGTTACTTATTGTATTCTACGTTGTTATCTCTCTTTCTCTGTCTTGTGGAAAATACCAGGTGGAGTAGCAGTCGGTGTTGAAGGCGGTCCAACTCCCTTACAGTTTAAAAATCTTGAACAACAAAATGAACGAATGAAAGAAGCACTGGTCAAGCTACGTGACTTAGTTAATCAAGATAAATCGGAAATTTCAGCTTTAACTAAACAGGTAAATACACCTGCTTAATAATTTATGTATGATACAGTGAGCAAAGAAAGAAACTCGATGAACGTGTAAAGTTGTAATTTTGATGTTCTTGCGTTCTTTGAGCTGGGTGATTTTAAAACTACGGAACTTTCATGTTCCTTCCAGACAACATCTTCAGAACAAGCTTCTTATCAAAGCGCATCGCGTGTAGGGTTCGAGTCTGAGTGGAACATCATCATAGGTACGTCCAGTGATGAATCCCAAACAGGACGAAGTGCTCATACTGCATTCCTCTGCTAGTCACTGTTATCATAGATAAGGTTGTTCTAACTTATGAGATAAGTAGTGAATGCACTCAACTTACCAATTCAGTATTTCTAAACCTATTAATTTTCTGTACACCAACCAAGTCTACTTTTAAGAACACTAAAAAGGCTACCAAAAGTTATAAATATTAGGGGAGCTGTATAGCTGAGTATTGTGAATTCTTCATATATTGGCTTTAATTGTGTTGTAAATTCCGTTTATTCTTCCAACTCTTCTTTTGACACCAACTCACTCATAGACAATGCCAAAGTTTACAGTTAACTCTGGGATAACTTTTTGTCTGAGTGGGAAAATAAAGCCTAAAAGTGAATTGGTGGATGATGACTAGCAATAAAATCCATGATACGCATTTCGCCCTGTTTGGGACTCTCCATCTGGCTGTACCTGCATTCTGAAGTGACTGATGATGTTCCCACCGAGGCTCGAATGCAGTGGCCATAGTTTCAAACGCCAAAGCGTTATCCACTAGGCCACGAAGGCCACCTCTTATGCAATGGGTCATATTGATTATTTAATTGAATTTTAGATTTTCCCGTCGGTTGATTGGACCGAAGTGCTGTTCGGTACCATCCACCAATTAACTTCTGATTACGTGCCAAGATATGGTCGAAGCATCTGAACAAGAAACCGAAATGTCAACCTGTGACCAAGCACTTCGGTCCAATCAATCGACGGGAAAATCTAACATGGAATTAAAATCAGAAAATAGCTTTAGTAATTTTAAATTCAAATAAGGAAGGATTGATAAATGCATTAGAGAAGAGAATTCTAGGTTGTGTATTCAATGAACTGACTGTTGATAGTAAAGAAGGTGCCGATCAACTTTTTCTGGAAGACAATTTCACACATCACTCTTCTGCTATCGATCATTTTGGTATTCACTTTTTAACTGGTGGGCTGGCTAATCACCAAGCTTAACAGCGTTGTACATCATTAATGATGGAAAAGAAAATCCCAATAAGTGATGACTTTAAATTTTTCAGTTATACATATCACTGTCGTAAAGCGTATATTATATAACTGATGGATCCAGTGCTTAATTCTCGAGCTTGTACAAATTGAACCGTTCGACCTGTAACCGACCGATTGACCACTTCAATTATTTGGGTGAGAAGTGGTATCAGCCCCAACTGGTTGATCTCAGACGAAATCTCAGTAAGCATACATTCACTCTTTATGACTTACGATATCTAATAAAATTCTATTGTTCTTCCATACTACTATTCTTTTTACTTCATATTTCTGTTTATTATCTCTTTACTCTCTTGCTCTGTGTGCTACATGGAGGGAGAGTGACAACTGTAACTGCTGCATATGTGTGCAGAGTTTTATTTTGAAACCAGTCAGTCAGTCAGTTCGATTTGTATATTCATTTATACTATTTCAGTGCCGTTCTATGCTATTTTGTAGTACTACATAGCTTGAAATAGACATCACAGTCACTGGCGTCTGATATCGTATTCAGATTATGGGAATTTCGTTGTAAGGATTTGGATTAATTTTACCGCAGATTTCGTCCCAAATCATCGAAAACCATAGAACAGCAGTCTCGTCCCAACTTGTGGCTCTTCAGCAACAGGGTAAATGGTCAACAGAATTAGCCTTATGACATGAAGGTCCCAGAATTTGACCCTGTTGGGGACGTGAGTGCGTATCGCTGAAGAGTTCTAATTAGGTACGAAACAGTTATCTAGAGCTCCTTGGTTTTCTATACTAACCTAACTGATGTTGGTCCACGACGAAATCTACATTGACACATTCTATTTACCTACTTTTTATGAGAATTTGAAATGCCAAACTTTACACTGAATATTACCTTTGTTTGTTTGTATTATTACAGATTACATCTTTAGAATCAGAGGTTAGTCAACTGCAAACAGAAAAAGAACGATTAACAAAAGATGTTAAAGATAGTGTTGAACAAATTATTGAATTAAAAGAACAAGTGGATGCTTCCCTTGGCATTGATACAATGGTCAGTCAGTTGACACAACGTAATTTAGAACTGGAAGAAGCGCTTGAGAAAATTAAAGAAGAAAGAAATGATCTGGTATGTATATACAAATTTCTTTTGAAATAATAGTAATGATAATAATGTAAAGAAGAATAGACCGATGAGGCTCGAGGGAATGTTTATTGGGACAAACGCATTGTATAAATTTGGTATAACTTATCATTAAGTCTTCATTTGCACATCATTTTCAAATAGGTCGAATACCTCCACATCTGATAGCTTGATGGATTCTACACAGTGTTTGTAGCGTTCTTCCCACAGTTCTCTTCTTCGATTGCTTTTTCCAGTGATCCAAAACATTTTGTTACTTTTCTGAACTCTTTTACTGATATACTACTTATATCTGATTATAAGTAGCACTCACCACATTAGTACAAATAGGCTTATTCTGAAAAATGCGTTGATACATCTTGCAAAATTCTCAGCATGTTCTATTGCAAAGTGTTCACTCTGAGTGTAGAATCTTCAAGTAAATTAATTAATCAGTAATATATCGTCTGAAGCAATATTTTTCTATCAAAAATACTCTTTGATAACCTGTTATGCTTTTTCTCCTCAGCGATAGGTTGAATCCTACTGAAAAAAGGGGCTGAGTGTAAACTGCAACTCAGAGATGTAATTGTGTAATTAAAATAAAATGAAATAGAGTAAATGAGAGAAATTTTGATGGAAAGAAAATTGGGTAGCCTAGTTCTTTAAGCAGACCATTATTGTTTGCACTGATTTTTTTATAATATTGGCGCTCTACAATCCTTTATTTACACGATTTACAGAAAACTATAAATTAATTGTTGTAAATGTAACGGGATATTATGAAATATCTTCAGTTTCTAGTGTAAATGTAGTTCACAGCTTTTTCCTCTCACTTTACCCACTTACCTAATTATCGTTCATTCGTTAGTTAAACTACTATGGAATGAGAATAAATTTTGGTATTTCTACACTCAATTATGACGAAAGTTTCGCGCAAGCGATGTAACTTGCACTATACGGTCGTCGGTTAGAAGCGGATAGGTGGTGGTCAGTCCATGACGTGTTGTCATGGGATGGAGAATAGTTGTAATTAGTTTAGCATCTCTTGTTGCACCCCTACCCGAAATGATAGTCGAAATCACTGGCTTGAGGTGTTACCAAATATGGTGGAGAATCGTAATCTGAAATTAGTATACGGTGATAAGTCCCCTGAATAAGTATGCTTGCCAGTTTGCATAATGCTGTTCCCCAACTACTCCATTTCTCCTGTATTTCTTGTGTCATTGTTTTTTTGTGTGGCACATCTTGTGTTACCCATATTGTAGCAAGTTGCTGTTGAAATAATAACAAGAATGAGGATGGATTTCTCGCCGATGACATTAGTTGATGGTCGCGCTAAAAACACGAATAGGTACAAGTTAGAATTCATGGGCCAGTGGCTGAATGGTATACGAGCCAGCTTGCCTTGTAACCGGAAGGTCCTGGGTTCGAACCCCAGTGGGTGCATACTGCCGATGACCCCCAAACTAAGATGAAACAACTGTCCAGTGATTCCGAGTTTTCAGTGGTCTTCTAACTGATTATCAGTCCGTGGTAAAACTCGAAAAACAGATCTAATCCTTACAAACCAACTCTTGAAAATAATAATAATAATGCGAAGTCAGTTGTGTAGCATATGTATGCGTATGTTACCTATAAAGCTCATCTGAAGAATTTTTAGATTGTCAAACAGTGCATTCATCAGAAATGCTACACTTTTTCTGCATCTCGGAAAATACTATTTATTATTATTATTATTAGTTCTAACATTATTCAGACACAAACAGTATGGAGGCTAGAGGATGCTCCACATTGCATAAGGGTTGGAATACTATACAGATTTCCAGAATGAAGTAGGTGATTCTCTTATAGGATCACTCTATATCTTTGACTTGAAGTCTGGTCCTTCACAAGTCTACGGAGCAAAGTCAAGAGTTCAATTCCCATGGTCGTGGGGTTTTTATACTATTCATCCTTCTCGGACTCTATTACTCATGTACTGTTAGTTTGGAATCAGGATTTTAGAACTCCCTATGGTGTGAGCCCATCATTTGCATCGGTCTAGTAATAACAGCTGAACATTCAAATTCTCCTTTTCACTTTTGTAAGCAGATCATCTGTTACGTGGACACAGTGTACAAGAGTTTTCTGATAGAAGTTACATAGGAGTATTTAGAAAAAATAGACTAGATTCCACCTACTATCAATAGTATCAAGTTACTTGTGAAATGCTTATTATTACTTAAGCATTGTTTTGAGCCACAGTTCATCTGTTTAAGTACTCGGCTTTTATCTTCTAGTCATGGGTTGAAATTTCGCTCCATCTGCCGGGGTTAGGTGAGGCAGGTAGTATCATCAGCTTTCACACATAGTGGGTGTTATTCACTATCAATCAGTGTGTAAATAAAAGCTGTTAAAATTCAATTTGTTACTTACGTCACACCAACTCGTAGACTGTGCAGTAAGATAAATTCCTTTGGAGGTGTATCCATAAGAATTCAATAGGGCTGCTTACATGTGTGTTGGAATTAGCTGTTGCAATCAACTTACGAATCACTGTTCATAGGTTAATTTAAATGAAACTGTAAATATGCAATGCCCCTTTTTCAATCTGCAAAGCTGTAGATTCCAGTCAAATTCTATGTTCAGTGTAAGTGCGAGCATCCAAAGTATTACCTTATACTAATGTTTACAATAGAGGCAACAGTACTGAAAGTAATAGTTAGGCGATAACCATCACTAAAGCTCAGCATTTTGTTTGATTTTAACAAAAAGCTGATATTACTACTACATGGAGTCGATTTCTGTTTAGTGTCTTTGACAAAAAAGTCTAGAAACCATATGAATTAACCGTCTTTGATTTTAAAAAAGTGCTTTGATTAAATAATTATTTGCTTCTTTTTTTTCTCCTATGGTTTTTATAGGAAGCTCTTTGTGAAATGAATGATGAATTACAAGAGAATAGTCGTGAAACAGAACTTGAACTACGCGAAGAAATTGAACGATGCAATAGTAAAATTAATCAACTTGTACGTAATTTAGATGCAACACGTGAAACAATTGCAGACTATGAACAAACTTTTGTTAAATTTAGAGATTTAGTCTCTGATTTACAAACACAAAATACTGATCTGCGTAGGTCATTAGCAGATGGAAAACGCTTACAAGAAGAAAAACAGCAACAAAATGCCTATCCTACAGTTGCAACAGATCTTGTCGGTTCTACAGCTGCATTTATGGGGGGTAAATTTGGACTAGGCTCTCAAGTACAAACTCTTGCTAAAGTGAGTATTTCATATCATTATTTTTATTGAGGGTGCGTCGGTGGTACAGCGGTTAGGACGCTCGCCGACCATGCACAGGGTCCGGGGTTCGATCCCCGGCCGACGCACTCCTTTACCTCTCTAAGCCAGAAATAATGATGGTGAAGAGGAAAGGTTGGGCATGAGGCTAGCAAACCCATCCTGTAAAAATAAACAGTGCTACAGAAATTTGAAGCCTCTAGCTTGGAGCCCTATGTTCCACTGGGAAGGAGAAGGAATAAAAAGAAAAATTTTTATTGATATCAATCTGTGATCAGAATTGAAAGCAAATAAAATCCTTAGAAATCAACACTTAAAAAGTAATCTGATACTCACTAGTGGCTGACTTACCGATTGCAGTCACCTAAAGTTCTAGTGGAAAGTCGTGACTAGCCGAGTCCACCAAGTTGGATGTGAGGACAAATATTCACCGCTGACACATTGGCTGGTGGTGACGTTATACATCGCAAAATTGGCAGAATGGTCATCGAGCTCGCCTTTTAACCTGGAGGTCCAGGGTTCCATCCTGCATGAGATTATAGATTCTTGCTGCCAAAGAGCTGTCAAATACTCCCTGGGGTTTCAGTGACTCTCCAAATTGTATTAGTCCGTGATCACACTTGAAACCAATCAAATGACTACGAGCTAACACTTGAGAATTATTTTTATTGCTAATTTTATTGACTTTACGCAATATTTGACACAGCGATTATTCGTCGATACAAATTAACTAATCCTAAAAGACTCTACACTCTACACACCAAAATCAGAGTAATAATTAAAAGTAAACAAAATGAAAAGGATTATAATGAAGGAAGTTTTCGATTCAACGAAATTAATTTTAAGACTTCATACTGGTTTATGTATACTAGAAGAAACAAAACATTTTACAATAATATCAAATTAGGGATTGAAATAGGCTCAGTGAAAAAATTTCTAGTGTTCGTTTGCAAGGATTTGATTGATTTCAAATTGGATCACGAACCGACTTCAATTAGAGAACTATTGAAAACCAAGTAGTACTGAAAAGCTCTCTCTCTTCCTAGTTTTGGGACTTTCCAATAGTAGGTACCCATCACCACCCCACCAGAGGTCGAACCCAGGACTCTTCAGTTTACAAGAAAAACTCGTCGATCACTCAGTCACTGGGACGGAATTCAATAGGCGGGCCATCAATTCCAACTTCTGCCAGTTTTGCGATTTATAGCTCCACTGGCAGCCGCCAACACCATCTGTGAGTTTTTGTCTTCACGGTCAAATTGGTGTGCCCCGCTTATAACGACCTCTCACTCCGTTCGACGCCTGGTGAAGTTATGAGTGCGTGTCGATGAAGAGCCATAAATGAGGACGAAACAACTGTTCAGTACTCCTTGGTTTTCAGTGGTTCTTCAACTGAATTAAATTCGTGATAAAATTAGTAGGAGAAGTAAATGTGTATTAGTAACATAAGTAAGAATTCGCAACGGTGTATAACAGAAAAAAGATTTCCGTAGGTTTGGTTTTGCTCACACTTTAGTTTTATGAATATTGCTTTCGATGTCATTTGATGTAACACCTTTACAGTAAACCTTGCAAAACTGGATTCGCATCCACCACTGTCAGGAAAACAGAAGTAAAAATTAGAGGAACCACCTGTGTACGAGATAATTTGTGCTATAGTCATTAGCCATAAATCTCTTTACGTGTTGTATATTACACAAATTTTGTGCATATAACATATATTCTTCATTTTAACTTCATTAACTACCAAAATCTTGTCCGCAATAAGTAATTGTTTGCTTTAAAGATGCCTATGGTTTTATATCTACATGGCAAGTCAATGACTGTTTTATGCGAAATGCTTTTAAAACTTAATTCTGACATCCCGTCAGCTTTCCTTATATCACTATGATAAGCTATGACAACCATTACTGAGAGTGTTTTCAATGAAGTTATACTTTTACCATTTAAATGGTGGATGGTGACTAGCAGTGAAATCCAGGATGCGCATTTCGTCCTATTTGGGACTCGTCAGTTGGACGTACTTGCATACCCCAGTGAGTGACGATGTTCCCACTGAGGCTCGAACCCAGTACCGATAGCTTCAAACGCCAAAACGTTATCCACTAGACCACTTGGGCCGTGAGAGCCACCCCTTGTGCAACGGGTCATATTGATTATTTAATTGAATTTTAGATTTTCCCGTCGATTGATTGAACCAAAGTGCTCGGTCTTTTACCAGTTTGAATCAGTTTAACACCTCAATTATCACTTACAATTTTCGGGTTTTAATCTGTAAACAACAGGTAATCTTTTAGCGATATATAGTTACCTAAATTTTGGTTAATTTTTCGGAGTCTGAATGATTATTTTTATTTATTTTTTTTATTTTGATTTACAGCTTGATTCCACACCGTATTTTCAGTACAAGTGTGGAATTTTCAGCATGGATATCGGTTGCCCAAATTCAGGCATACCATAGATATCGGGTGTGTGCCGGCAGGGGATCGAACCCCGGACCATGTGCATGGTCGGCGAGAGTCCTCGCTAATTTGCCTGAACTGGATACGATGGCTTGGGTATCATGGGATGACACGGAGAAGGTCATGTGGAAAGGAAATGAAAACTCCTAGACAGTAGTGAAGCTATTTTTGATTGGCTAGCGTAATGTGTCTAGTACTATCTTTGGTGCAGACTGAATTCTATCAGTCAAGTTTGCAATGTAACCACCAGCCACCACGAAACCTAGGTTCAAGGTTTCCTGCCGATTGCCTCCAACCATCTAACACCAACAATTCACAGTGCATCCTGATAGCGAGCCACCTAGAATCGTGGCCACATTGCATACTCGACTTATAGAATTCAGTCTGCACCAAACATAGGACTAGATATATTACTCTATCTACTGACTAGTATCAAATCAAAAATATCCATTACAGTCCTACAGGAGGTCAGTCGCAAGCCTGAATAGCTCAGTGGTAACGTCTCTGACTGCAGCACTGGGTGACGCGGGTTCGAATCTCAGAAGGGATACGAGTTCCTTCAGGGCTGCAGATATGCCTTCCTGACGAGTGCCAAGAATCACGAAACCTAGGTCCAAGGCTGTCGAATCCCTATGTTTCAGTCAGAACTCAAGGAATATATAATACTATTAATATTAGAGTTTTTAGAAGTTGCGGCTCATTGGTCTCTGTGCCCGACTTTCAATGCGTTGGTCACACGTTCGAACTGCACTCCAAGCATTGAAGTTTACACAGCCTGGGACAGTATAGCCAACCCTCACAAAATATGTGTAGATCATCCCCAACTATATGAAATTGCAAATGACTGTTGAGTAACGTTGAGTTGGGTTGGATTGATCAGTATTTCAAGTTCTAAGTGATATTTATGTTTTAATTTCAATCATTCATGATGAACTCTTCTGTATTCTACTTGCTATTTGAATTTATGTTATCATATTGTATTTTACTGTCTTATTTTATATTGAAAAAAAGGTAATTGAAGCTGAATTAAGACGCCTTGAAGCAGAACAAACTGCAAATCATGTGACGCGGTTATCTGCTTTCTTACCTGACTCATTTCTCCGACGTGGTGGTGATAATGAGGCATTACTTTCACTTTTGTTAATCGATCGACTAGCTGGGAAATGCGATCTGCTGGCTAATCATGTAAGTTTAATCTCATTCTTTCAAGTTGTGATACTTTACTGTATATAATAAATTATACGTCGTAATAATAATATACGTGGTCACGAATTGAACCACTTTTCATGTGTACAATGCGTTACTGATATTCAGATTGGGGGACCTAACTCTCTAATTTACTTTGCTCTAAACAAATGAATGTTTATAGTTAATGAGATACCATAGATTTGTGTGATGCTTTCTTATTAATATTTAACAAATTAGTGCAAATGTACTAACAATTTTGAGCCTTATTACTAAAAGTTTCAAGCAATAGTTCTTAGTGTCTCGAGATCCCAGCCGACTAGTCCATTTGACTACCCCTAACTCTTTTCCAACCTAGTCCTGTGTCTGTTAACATTGCTCAACCAAGGAGGTAGTGGCTTGGCATGTGTGACACATATCCTATCCATCTCGATCAGTTTAGCTTCACAATTTCATTGACAGACTTTCTCTTCTCACCTAGCTTCACTATTACCCACCATATTATACCACTTAACACGAGAGATGGGAAGCATACACCTATGGTCAGTGACAACTAACCTCTTCATATCTCTCACTTTCAACAACATAAACAGGACGAACTGCTGCGCCGTACATATGTCCTTTAATCGATAGTTGTATATCCCACCTATTACTATAATGAAAGTGGACGAAAATGAGGACAATGAGCGTACCGGACGGACACTTTTGATGGTCATCACTTCACATGATAACTCTCCATAGGGTCTAACACAGCCGTGTGAGTTCGAGTAGAGTGTCTTGGTTAGTGTGATATACTTTTTCGGCACTCTGTTCACGACGAAATATTGATACAGTACCTTTTGGTTGATGGAGTCAAATACCGCCTTTAGGTTAAGAAATGTAAGAATTGTTGGACACCAGTAAGTATGCCTATATTTCAGAATCTGTCGAAGGATAAAAATACGATCCAAACACTCTCGTCTGGGCCTAAGGCCTCACTTGTTTTCACTGGTTCGTTGCTACCAAGTACCGCTTAGTTGACGCGTGATTATTGGTACTATGCTAGTCAAGCCCAGCCCTATGATTGTTCTTACAGGCGGACGTGTTTCCTTCCTTATAAACTAGAATAATCAATGATTTACACCAGTCCAACGAAACTATTCCCAGACACTATACAACACCTTAGTTAACCCAGTTAACAGTTCATCGCCATTATCCTGAAACACTTCTGGAGTAATTCTATAAGGTCCCGTTGCTTCTCCTCGTTTCAGATTAGAGACAGCTTTTGAAACCTCAGCTGTAGTTAAAGGACTAATGTCTACAATCCATTCAGATAGGTGGTGGATGCTGGACAAAATAAGTATAACTGTAGGCTAGTTAAAGTGCTCCTCAAATTGTATACTGACAAGCGAAATAAGTGAAAAATCGTTAAAACCAGTCAGTGGGAATCTATCAAGAGTGGATAATTAAGAGATAATGAGATACGAAATATGATGGAATATTTGGGAGAATGAACTATCGTCTAAATAAGCGTTAAATGAGAAACAGTTTGCGTTACGTCACAATTACATCGCTTGAGAGAAGTAGAAGCATTTTATTTCAACACTAAAGGGCTAAGATAGTAGAGAAAGCAGAGTTTTAACCAGTTTTTTTTGTGTACAAAGCTCCAGCTCCTGTAATTCGACATTTAGGGCATCAAGAGAGCAAAGAATGTGAATATACACTGATTTTGATGGGTAACTTAACAGTTCTTAGGTGTAATTTCTGAGGGGAAAGTTGTCGTGATTGAGTGATCAGTGTTGACCTGATGTTCAGCTATCGCAGATCTTGTAGACTGATTTCTACCTCTTCCTTAACCATCAATCAATCTTAGCATCTTTACATTCGTTAAATAGTTGGAAGCAATCGGCAGGAAGCCATTACAAGCATCTTGTGCAACGGGTATCAGTTATTACTTTTGTTTTTAGGTTAATTTTGCATTTTCCGTTGATTGATTATGTTGACCTGAAATCCTGGGTCTCTCTGTTGACATGTCGGCTTCTAGTACGGATGCTTCGACTATGTCTTAGGAATAACGTGAAGTTACTTCGGTTGATGATAACTAGTAGTGGAATCCGAGATGTGCATTTCGTCGTGTTTGGGATTCGGCAGCTGCATGTACAGAGCACTTCGATCCAACACATAGTCAATCAACGATAAATGCAAATTAACCTAAAAAGTAAATATATTCACAATCGTTTTATGTTTATAGCATTTAGTCTCGTATTAAATGATTTACTTTCAGCTTGTTGAACGTTATCCATTGCCTCCTTGTGTTCCGGGTCAAGCACCGCTACAGATGCCTCAAGGTGAAACCAGTACTACTACTACTGCTACTACTGACAATCCAACTGAAGTTGTCAGCGGAATTTGTATTCCTGGTACTAATAATCCACTGCCACCGTTGACTAAAACAAAATCAGAATTCTTTAGTTTTATAACTAGACTAATTCATCTACTCCGGTCAATGTCTTCTTTGTTAGGCCAGTGTAAACAGTAAGTGTTTTTAATGTATTTAGTCGAATTGTTAATATTCTAATGGTAGTTTGTAGTTAGGATGAGAGGGTTAATTGATTTCAAGTTAGATTCGACCATAAAGTGACTTCAGAGAGAGAGAGAGTGAGTGATTGAAAATCAAAGGGTAATGCGAGTTTATTTCATCTTAGCCTGCGACTATTCAGCAGTAGACATGATCCGACCTGGCATTGAAACGAGAACCTTCAAGGTATGAGGCGATCAGATTCTTGAACATGGTGGAGTGCAGCAAACCAGTAGCCTTACGGTCACGCCACCTGCCAAGTGATTCACAACGGAAATCTCAGTGAATTCTTTGAAGTAAAGACAAGAATAAGACAAGGCTGTCTACTATAACTAGTGGGTTGGGTCATGCGGCAGACTGTGGGGAGTAGAAAAACAGGCATACATTGGACTGACAAAAAGACCATGGAAGATTTGGACGTCGTGGATGATTTATGTCTCGTGTCTCACAAATTCGACGATTTACAAGGAAACACCAACACGTTTGCAGAATTGGCAGCAAAGACGGAATTTCAAGTGTATAGAGTGAACAACAATCATCAGTTACCATCAACGGGAGAAACCTGAAGGAAGTCTTTTCCTTCACTCAGCTGTGCATCATTTCAACTACAGGCGTCACGGATGGGTATGTCAAAGCCAGTCAGAGTCCGAAAATCACGACAGTCATGCATTAAATCTGAAAACAATGTGGAAATCTACCGCACTCAGCACAGAAAAAACCCCAGTTTTCAGTACTAATGTCAAGTCAGTGCTTCTATATGGTTCAGAAACCTGGCGCGCACACTACGTAAAATATTCCCCATAGACTGCAGACTTTCGTCAATAGGTGTCTTTTCTAGCTCTATACTGAAGACCGAATGGCCAGTCAACAAAGATAAGTGACAAGGAAGTCTCGCAACGAACAAACCAATAAATTGTTGCCCAACAGATGTGCAGAAAGAAAAAAGGAGCCGGATCGCGCATACATTTATGAAATTGTTGGGTGATGTACTGCTGAAGTCCTAAGTTGTTCCACACGGAATCCAAGGGATGAATAATATAGTCACAAATATGTTACACTGTGAACATGCAGTAGGTTCAAAATAAGAATATTCAGAATTATCAGCTTTCTATTAACCTTTATTTATTCGATATAGTATTTCACATCAAAAAATTTTAATCAATGTTAAGATATTATGAGTAAAATGAATATAAGATATAACCACGGGTGTCCTACTTTTTATCGTTTTTCCAAATGATAAAAACTATTAAAAAACAACTCTACAATTTTAACATTCAGTATGCATATCTACTCCTATGTGAAATCGCCCCTGTTCAAATCTTAAAAAGCGCGTCAGTCAGTGGCACAGCGGTAGAATGCTCGCCAACCACGCAGATGGTTTAGGGTTCGATCCCCAGCCGACGCACTCCCTTACCTCACTAAACCAGTAATAAAACTGGTAAAAAGGGAAGGTTGGAGGGCTAGCAATCCCATCTCGTAAAAATAAATACCACTGCTACCGAAACTTCAAGTCTCTAGCTTGAAGTAGCCCTATGTTCCACTGGGAACGTAAAGGAATAAATAAAAATCTGAAAAATATAAAATTTGAATCCACAATTTGCAATTTACGAAGTTTGAATTGCAGTTCCCCTTGGAAACCGAAATTATTCAGATCGTGGTGTGATATGCTTGTTAACATAAGTGGCAATCAAGAGAAGAAGCATAAATGCATGACTGTATACTACTGATTGATTGATATGAGTAGTTGTATACAACTCACATCAAGCAATAGTGCTTGTTAGCCTGATTGAAGTGATCTAAACACCAGGTGGCAATTTCGCTCTTTCGGAGTCGAGCTCATTGACAGTGGTATCCAACTACAACAGGCGGTTTTCAAAACCCAGTCGTCCTCAGTATTGTCGACAGTCCTCCGGTACGCCTGTGACACCACCGAATCGTCATGTAGCTGGGTCCACAAATTCAGGACCAGTGTACACCATCACGAACCTCATATGAAGGTTGCAAGCGACGTCAACCAGGTCAGAAATGTTGGTCATTCAGCTCTTCCGAGGCTGATGGCACAGTGGTTAGGACTCTCGCCGACCATGCACATGGTCCGGGGTTCGATCCCCTGCCGGTGCACACCCGATATCTATGGTCAGCCTGTAAATTTGGGCTACCGATATCCATGCTGAAAATTCCATACTTGTACTGAAAATACGGTGTGGAATCAAGCTGTAGTCAAAATAAAAATAAATAAAATAAAATACCTTGCCTCCTCACTTGATTTCTGTTGGATTCTATGGATCAAGCCCTCAGGGTCCATCTCTGTCGCTCATATTTCTTTCAGCCGTTAGATACCCTCTTGTGGTGATTTTCCCAACGACATCTGTGGTAAAAACAGTTTCTGAAGCTCCTGACCCTGTTTACGACTACTGTGCTATTAGCCAACCGTCCATTATGT